AAAATAAAATTGCTATTACTGTTTATATAAATGATTACCATTTTATATAATGAACATACAAATTGAGAACTCCAATTTAACTTTGTCTGCATCATAACCACCCGGTGTTCATGCGCGGTGGCAAAACGAAACAAGCTATGTCTGCGTGTGCTGCTAATGAGAAAAATCGGTAATAGCTCGGATTTAATAAAGTATAACGAAATTCCGTTGACATCGGTGAAAAGGTCGGAAAATGGAATAGGACGGTATATAGTATTGATAATATTGGACAATTTTTGGGGATAGTTGGACAATTTGAAAATTGATATTCATGATTTTGTAAATTTTTAGTTGCAGATTCTATTTACTATTAATTTAGATTGTTTGGTAAGATAAAAATATCAACATATTTGAGTTCCTGGCTAAAAACTACCCCTAGTAACCTGATGATTTTTTCGAAATAGCTTCCAATTATACACATTTTGAGTTCTAAGACGATAATAGATTTATATGAAAAAGTTTTGACGTTCTAATACGATTCGCTAATCTGATATTCAAGATTATGGGGGGGAGTCTTTGAAAAAATTTCTGTGGGCATGTAGAGCAACTCATTTCTCTACTAATATGAAAAGATGAAAACAATTTTTGTTTGAACCGGTCTAAGCTTCATATGCCTAACCGAAAATTTCATTCCCAATAAAAGAAGTGCAAATTACGGCAACGTCGTTAGCGAGATTCTTTCCGCATACCCTGAAATGGGGTGTAATATGTGGCACCCTGAAATTGTGCATATGGAAACTGTGCATACGAAATAATGCATATGAAAAAAACCGAAATAATGCATACGAAAAATACCGAAATAATGCATATATGCACAGTTTCGGTTGAAAACCGAAATAATGCATATGAAAAAAACCGAAATAATTCATATATGCACAGTTTCGGTTGATAACCGCAATAATGCATATGAGAAAAAACCGAAATTATGCATATGCACACTTTCGTTTGAAACCCGAAATAATGCATATGAGAAAAACGAAGAAATGCATACATGCACAGTTTCGGTTGAAGACCGAAATAATGCATATGAGAAAAACCCGAAATTATGCATATGCACACTTTCGCTTAAAAACCGAAATAGTGCGTATGACGAAAACCGAAATAGTGCGTATGACGAAAACCGAAATAGTGCATACATGCAGTTTCGGTTCAAATCCGAAATAATGCATATGAGAAAAACGAAGTAATGCATATATGCACAGTTTCGATTCAAAACCGAAATAATGCATATGACAGAAACCGAAACAGTGCATATATGCATAATTTCGACTCAAAACCGAAATAACGCATATGAGAAAAAAAAACTAAATTATGCATATGCATACTTTCGGTTATAATCCGAAATAATGAATATGACAAAAACGAAGTAATGCATACATGCACAGTTTCGGTTGAAAACAGTTTTTATTTTCTTTAAAAATTCCTAAACTAAGCTAAATAATGTACCTTTACAATCCTTCCATTTTTTGATAGAAATTATCTCTGGTTAGTTTTTATTAAAAAAAATTATAATAACGTACGCGACATAACGTACGCGACAGATTTTCCCCCATACAATATTTTTACTAGTAACACATATTAAATTAAATTTTTTCAGTTCTTCTCTCCACCGCTTCGCTTTTTCAAAACCTTTTTCCGCCATCTGAATACGAAATTTAAAGTTATAAAGCCGTTTGAATTCATTTGCTTGCATTTTCGGTTTACATTTTCATGGAAACACGCATATATGCGAAAGTCTGCGAATCATGGGAGTTTTTCTTTTCTTTAAATATTCCTAAACTAAGCTAAATAATGTACCTTTACAATCCTTTCATATTTTAAGAGAAATTATCTCTGGCTAGTTTTATATTAAAAAAACAATAACGTACGCGACAATTTTTCTCGTAACTAATAAAATGTATTTATTGAGAACTCTTCCCGCCACCGTTTCATTGTTTTGCAACTATTCTAAATAGTTTAAATGGAAAATTTGCAATTAACATTGGTTTTGATGTATCTGATTGAAATTTTCGTACTTACAGTAACGTATGCGACAAACTTAAAAGGGTAATAAAATTTTTTACTTCGGTTGGAAAGAAAATTTTACTGTATATCTTTAACTGGAAGAATTCTCGCTTAAGAATTGTAATCTGCATTACCTGCGACTGCCAATATACAAATGACCTAGACAAACAATGTTTTTGCATAACGTACGCGACATTAGAATACTATCAGAAGCAAATCAAAAAATTACCGTTAACCGAGCTCAAACTTCTCCTTTTTCTCATTTTTATAGTTAGTTGTTATTGCAAATTTGATTTTAAGATGTAATTGTAATGTTTCAAATCTCTTAATTTAGTTAATAGGAGAGAGAAAATAGTTCATTTCATTAGAGAAAACTGAGTCGAAGAGACACTCAGTTTTACTCTTAAATTTTGGAGTTTTAAAATTGCAATAAGCTGAAATACTTCTATAATATAAAAATTCGAGTATTTTACTCTTATTAATTCGTCTTAAAAACCCTTTTCAGTTATTTTTAGTTTTTCAGTCCTGGTTGACATTTTCATGGAAACACCCATATGAGAAAAACGAAGTAACGCATTCATGCACAGTTTCGGTTCAAATCCGAAATAATGCATATGAGAAAAACGAAGTAATGCATATATGCACAGTTTCGTTTGAAAACCGAAATAATGCATATGTGAAAAACGAAGTAATGCATACATGCACAGTTTCGGTTGAAAACCGAAATAATGCATATGTGAAAAACGAAGTAATGCATACATGCACAGTTTCGGTTGAAAACCGAAATAATGCATATGTAACCACACAGTAAGGATGAGCGCAACCTTTAGCACAAAAAATGCACAAATGTAAAGTGCAACCATGTTAATGTAGAGAAGATATCCAGATGACGCTTAAAATTGAAAAACGGCGAAATAAACCGAGCGACTCGCACGGAATAACTATTTTATAGACTTAAACGTCAGTCATTTGCATGTATACATAGATGAATAAATATTACAGACTCTTATCTCCTTCAGTTAATAGGACGATCCAGCATAGGCGCATTTTTTCAAAAATGTCTGCTTGGGTTCTGGCAAAGGATTCGTTTTGTGGATGGTCTTGATCTTTGGAAAAATATATTTCAATTTGTGCACTCTACCATTAATAAACGCTTCTTACATTTTTATTTCCTTCAGTGTAAAATATCCACTTAGTTTCTTATTTGGCTTCTTGAATGATTTGGTTGGTTTTAGTTATCTTATCACTTCTTCCGATAACCAAAATCGTTCGTATAATATTTTCTCGAAAAACTGTCAAAATTGCGTTTCACACTGAATTTCAAAATCATGCATGACAACGAAATCTATAATAGGCCGGTTGATTTGAAATTTTAAATTAAATGAATTTGAGTTTGTAATGGCCTTCTCTGATGCCATAAAAGTGCAAATAAAACTAAAGTATTTGTCAATGTTATTGTGGCTTATTAACATTTTATTTTTAATATTTTTTTTGAGCTTTGTGCCACGATTGTTTATTAGGAAAAATTGAACAAAGTCTAAGCGGTAGAAGTTATAGCAGCTATTTCGGAGATCACCACATCTCCTCATCAGACTTCTTTTTTCTGGACTTCTTCCCTGCTGAAGAAGAAGAAAGCTCAATAAAAATATTAAAAATAAAACTAAAATATTTTTGTAAAAAAATGTATATGTGCATTTGTACCTTTTGTTAATATTGTTTATAAATGCATTTCTTTAAAACTTTGTGAAAGATAACAAAACCACATTCCTGAAGATGCTAAAATGTTTATGGAAACTTTGTATAGTATAGTAAGCCCTTAGACCCTTCTTATGCATAGCGTATTTAGCTCTATAGACTATTCCGTTTGCCTATAATAGGGACCTTGCATGGTCAATTTGTTTGACCAAACTACGTGTCTGAGTAGTTTGATAATTTTACTTACACGCCTCACACAACCCATAAAATTTCAGTTTTTCGTTTTGGTTTAAGTTGAAGAAAAGCTTGAGTAAATTTTTCTTTTCATTTATTAACAGTGATCGGACTTTAAAAAAATTCTGTGTGGTAGAATCAGGAAAAAAATGCGGTAGATTTCAAAAAAAATGTGGTAGATCTTTGGATTTGGATCAAACTTTGTACAAAAATTAAAAAAATAAAATAGTGCATTTTAAATGAAGTAAAAACGCTGCATTAGAAGCAGCCATACGAAATGTCGATTATAGGGCCTGTGTCAATCGGTAACTATTTTCTCCGTGGTGAAACCGGGTGGAAAAATCTGCTAGGGCGTACAAATAAATTGAATTTTGCTGTGCCAAATGCAAAGTAAAATGTTGATAGTTGAAAAACCAAACAAACACCCGTGCGAAGGCTCTATTTTTGTGTGTTGCTGAAATTGTTAAAACTTATATTTATTTTATAACTTGCAAAGTAACGTGCGCTTTTTCAGCTTTAATTTTCATATTCATTCTTCATTACCGCCAAGCAATATTATGTGTATACATCTTTATAAGCTGTCAAAATTTTACCTAGCCCCATGAGCAGAGAACGAGCACACGCTCAAACAGCATAACCATCGCGTGTACGTATACAAGCGAGAGCGTAACGATCAGAACGCGACAGCATGCAAAATTAATTAAGCACACCAACAAATTCTCTCTTCTAGCTAACGCTTGTTTGTGGTAGTGCTCACGTCTGCCCATGAGCTAGGTAAAATTCTGACGTTCGTATTTACCACAAGATATGTAAAATTTCTACTTTGAGCCGTCATAATTCCCTATTTTCTATCAATCCACGGAAAGCGTTATCAAAATTCGATAAGTGCACGTTAGCGGAACTAGGCTATAACTTATGAAAAAATTCGAGAGGGGTATTAATCGTCGCGTTTAACGTGAATGATAATATTAATCCGAGAGCGGAAGTTAACGTTTTTAGTTCATTAAAGAGTTATTTGCAAAAAACACTGGCACTTTTCGCACTATGTTTTGACTTGTATTTGACGCAAATAAATGGAAAAAGTTAACTCAACTTAAAAAGCATTCATTAGTTTTTGTACATTTGTTATGTTTTAATGTAAGTATTCACGAAACTCTGTATTTAGTTGAAATATTTCGATGGTGAAAATCCGCACAACAATTTGTGAAGTTAGTTTATGTAAATAAGATGGAGGAAAACTGGTGCAAGTGTTTTTTGCAAATAACTCTTTAATGAATTAAAAACGTTAACTTCCGCTCTCGGATTAATATTATCATTCACGTTAAACGCGACGATTAATACCCCTCTCGAATTTTTTCATAAGTTATGGCCTAGTTCCGCTAACGTGCACTTATCGAATTTTGATAACGCTTTCCGTGGACTCTCGAATTTTTCTGTAAATTTTGACCTGATTCCACTAAAGTGTACTACTACCACAAATTCTTGCCATCTCTAAAACTTTTGCCGTTACCTATTTACGGCTCGTCTCCGCAGGTAAACGTATTTGCTTAACATGCTGTCTCCACAGGCAAAAGTTTTTATCTTGGTAATAATGTTATCAGGCAATATTTCGTCAATGGAGACCGCAAGCAATAACTATCGGAGCTTTTATCTTGATAAATATTGCCAACAATTTGGTAATTTGTCACCCACATTTTTATTTACATTATTGATATTTTAATATAAAAGCAAAAATGTAGCTGTTTTCTATTAAAATATTTGTTATTTTGTATTTGGATGTGAAATACCAAGTTTTCCAATCTTTTAGAGCTTGATATGCAGTTCAATGCGAGCGTGAGCGTGAGAAGTTAGCTTACTGCCAATATAGAAGTATTACATATATGATTGCAACCATAAACATTACATGTTTTAATTATTCAATATAGCAGTGAACAATTTTTCTGAATTTTCCATTTTAAAAACACCAATGGGTAACCAATAACTAACGAAGCATCAACTTTGTTTCTGATGCGCTGATTGCTCTAGCGATGCGTTTCGATAATAGCCCGAACACAATGAAAACGACGAGCTACGGACCACAGCTGTCAAATTATTTTAACACGTACTCTTATGTAGATAATTATTTTTGCGACGACCGGCCTACACGACGACTGTGGTTCTGGCCAGATTAGATCTATTTCTATTTTTCCAGCGACAGATAAGGTTCTTCCTCTTCTTTTATGTCAAACTGATACAAATTCATGATGTCGCTGCCGCGTTCAAAAAAATCATGTCGTCATCGACAAAGGGTTTAGATAATGAAGATAACAAATTGGAAGCTGTGCCCCGTATCTCCTGGTTTTTAATGTGTTCAGAACTTAACTTTTCGGATGCGTTTTGGAAAAGTATACATTGTCAATATTTTGTAGTTCGACGTTATGGAGCATCATACTTTGTACGTATGCAAAGCAATTGACGTTTTGGAAGTCAGCCAAATTTTTGCGGTTGACAACGCGCAAAAATACACACCATAGCCACTGCGGCAATTTTTGCACACAATTTTTACTGTCGTGTAGTTCGGCCCAATTTGACTTCGAAATCTTTGTATTGTTGACACAGATGGAACAAAATGAAAGGCGAAACAAATGTTTTAAAAACCATTTTTAAGTTTATAAACACTATTTGAAAAAATTTTAGAAAATATTTAGTTTCAAATGATAACCAATACTGAAAATTAAATTGAGAAATAAGAGAAATTTTTGTTCCAGTTTTTGTTGGGTGTGAAAACGCAGTGTTAAGTCGGGGACACGCATTGAGCGGTAAATCGGCGAGCGGCTGAGCGGCTCGGCTGATTAAAATTAAAACATATGAAAAACTATTGACGTGGGCACGCACTAAGTGGTATTTCTGAGCGGCTGAGCGGCATTTTTGTATGGCGCCGCATTGTCGCTCATTGCGTATCCTCGACCTTAGTTTAATTAATAATTTTATGTTATATATAATAAATTAATATTTATTACTTTTCATAAAGCTGGTAAGCATTGGTAAAGCTCAATCAATCGTAAAACAATTTCTATTTCTTTTCCGCGCACTTGCTCACAACGACAACCAGAGCTTGTTTTTTGTCAAGCATAAGATGAGATGGCCAAATAAATAACTCGTCAAATTAAAAATCAAAACTTTTTTATTTCCATGAATCAGAGCCGACAACGTGAAGTGTTGTGTAGGTGTAGCTACACGTAAAACCGACGATATAAATTTTATCACAGGCAATATTTGTACAAGGGTATTTTTTTATCTTGATAAAAGCATTTCTGAGATGGCTTCTAACAAATATTTTTGCCGGATTTAATCACTGAAAAAAATTTGAAAATTTGATATTTTACGTGTACACATTAACAAATATTTTAATAGAAAATAGCACATTTTTTGCTTTTATATTAAAATATCAATATTGCAAATAAAAATGTAGTTGTCAAACTACCAAATATCTGGCAATATTTATCAAGATAAAAGCTCTGAGAATTATTGCTTGCCAAGAGCAATATGCGGTCTCCATTGGCAAAATATTGCCTGATTACATTATTATCAAGATAAAAACTTTTGAATGTGGAGACAGCAAGTTAAATAATTTTTTGTAATGGGGGTGACACGCAAATTTGAATACCGTTTCAACGTACGATGTTTTAAATCAGGCATATATATGATACTGCGCGAAAGTATAGAGAATACCTATTCAGTGTCTTTGAGCCTTTTTCCCGATTTGGATCACTACGAATTGGTGAAGTAATACGTTTCGGTTTGAGTTTGATGTGTGGTGCTGTAAATTTGTGTGTGTAAAAATTTACATATTTTATATAAAAAGTGAAATGGCTGAACAAGAAAACAGTGAATTGCAAAATGACATTGCAACTGATTTGTCGGAAATCCCGTTCCACAAGTTGAGGCAAGATCAGTTCACTAAAGTTGAAATTGAATCCATGGTTGGATATCGATCGAATTCAAAAACAATATTTTGCATAACGGATAACCAAATGTACAGCTTCAACACAAAATCTGTGTTGGGCATATCATATTTGTGCTCATTTTTGACCAACAAGCGCAGAGAGTGTAAGAGCCGAATTTATGAAGTTCAACCAAATCAATTTATTAAACTAGTGGGTACGCCCATGCACAACCATCAGGATAGGTTACAAGAAAAAAAGGAGTTGTGCATCCTTAATGAAATAAAGCAGCGTTGCGGACAATTGGACTCTTTTTGTCAACAACACGGTTGACTGTACGCGATATTTTTAATGAAGTTTTATTGGAGTAAGTCTCAAAATTAAAATTTTTATAAATATTATACAATAATATAGTTTAATACAAAATTTCTACAATTATCCGTACTCATTATATTTTAAATAGGACAAGTTTATTTGCAATCGAGTAGCCATTATATGTAGAAATAGAAAAACTTGTTAAGTAATTTAAATAATTTCTGCGACTGCCTTTGCCACTACAAGTTATGTTTACGTTATTATTATGTATTAAAGTATTTACTTTTACCTTTTAAGGAATCCGGATGTTAAGTTGGAGTTTAAAAAGTTCGAACGTACATTGCAACTGATTCGTGACAAAACGATTCCGAAAAACCCAAAAAGTGTCGAAGAAATAAATGAGGCTTTTCGCAATGAAGAAGTTATGAACACTCTAGATCGATTAAAGCATCTTGACCATGATATTTTTTTCGATGCGTGTATAGACACAGCAACACATCCATTCTGCGTATTTTCGTCGAAATATTCCGTTTCTTTAATAAAGAGCCATATTGAGCCAAATCGCAGACATTACATGGTTGATGCTACTTTCAAAGTGGTACCAGTGGGCCATTTAATCAATTATTGATTATTTATGTCTGTTACATCAAATCCGTAAGTTGGTTTTTACCTATTTTTGTTTCAAGTTAAACAATAATTTTTTTAATTTTGTAGGTCTTTCCATTTGCTTTTATCTTGATGTCCAGAAAAACTGAAGAGGCATATATTGATGTTTTCAGCTACATTAATGATAACGTAATTGATTTGGAATGTGCAAACTTTTCGTCATGCCTCAAAAATTTCAGGCTTCTTAATATATTTGCGGTCCGAAAGGGAAGCCGCTACTATATTTCGACAATTATTATGTTTGCCATTGCTGCCAGCCGATCATATTTTGACAACGTTTAAATTATTAGAGGAGAAAGCTAGCTAAGTAGTTGCCGTAAAAAAATGTAGCCATCTAAAACAGCCGTCAATTAGTCACTAAAAAATGAATGCATCTAGTTACTTACATTAAAATTATGTAGCCATCCTAATTAGTTTTAATTAACCGTCAAAAATATACGTTTTACAACACTCAATAAAAATTTTGTAGTGTTATGCAAGCCGAATATTTAACAAAATTTATACATTACCAACTCCTCAATAACAAACGAAGTAAAATAACAATGTAAAATTGCACGAATTTTTAAGACTACAAGTCATAGAGCAATACCTGGCTCTATTAAAAAAAAAACTTTATTAATTTTTCCTAAAAAGTTGTGTCAGTTAAGTTATTAATTTAACACATGTATAGCCGTTTCTATTTTCTGAGAAAAGTGAATATTTCGAATCTTACTAACTAAACTTAAAATTGCCTAACGAAGTACCTTAATCCATGAAATCACGTAAATGATAAGTTGTATCTCATGTTATTATAAGTCTTCACACCAAGCTCGGTACTCGGTAACTCGGTGTTTGGTAATTTTTTCTACTGTATTTTTTCGTGTAAAATAGGGTGAACACCGAGTTACCGAGTACTAAGCTTCGGTGTGAAGACCCATATTCTGTTCGAGCAAAACCAAAGTTTTCGTTTTGTGATTTCCATTTTAAATAGGAGGGCCCTGAGAAAATTACAGTATTTGGTCATTTGGTATTTGGTTTCCGCACCACAGCTGAAATTGAAGCGTATAATAACCAGCTTGGTGAGAAGATAGCAAAAACAGTGGGTTCTTTAGGTTTCTTGTTGCGATAGGGCAACAGGAATACATTAAATCGAATGAGATGGAGCTTTACATCCAAAGCGGTGGTTCAACTGCATATAAACAAAAAAAATTTTATATGGTAATATATTTATTTTTACTACCACAAAAGTGTTTAAAAAAATTTTATTTTATTCAGAACCGAAACAAACGAATAGCTGAAGCTTCTGAACTATTATCAACTGACACATTGACACCAATTGACTTTATAAACAGAATTTTGTATGACGATGAGTATCTGTCCGAAGGTCTAACAAAATTTGTTGATGGCGCAGTTACAGGGGATGACGAATCGGAGTTAATAAGGGAAATTGAATCTGAAGTGTCGGAACTCCTAGATGATGATACCGCTTCTAATGGTAATAACGACAATGACGAACCGAAAGAAGGCACATGCATTACTTGTCTAACATCATTAGCTTCGATAGTTTTCCCAGAATGCTCACATATGCCTTTGTGTACCGCGTGTTATAAACAAATGAAAGAGATCCATTACCATGATTCAATTGTAGCATATTGTAGCACGATATCTTCCAATGTTATTGAAGTAAGAGTTACTTCGTTCAATTAAAAAGCTTCACGATGGTATATATACACTGGCGATCAGAACCGAGTGCGAATTAATAATAAGCGGATTGCTTTGAAATTTTTGGCAATTGGTCCTTATTATCGAAGGAATAAATCCTAGTATACAGAAAAAATAAGCTTAAACAAGAAACAAGCGATTCACAGAAAAAACGTAAGGCAGCTATTCACTCAGTTTTGAAATTTTTTGTTTTGAGATTTTTGAAGGTTGATACCAACGGGATTGTGGAGACTCCATTGTTTTTAATTGCGGTTTTCATACGTCCGAGAATGCTCTCTACTGAGCTTTCTTTGATTTCGCTCGGAATATTTCCCCGTTATAATTCTACTCGTATCCAAAGCTCTTCCATGTTACTCGGAGCTCGCTTGTGCTATGCCAATTCCCTCTTGACCACAGCGCAAAGCTTTTCGATGGTGTTGAGATCTGGACTTTGTGCTGGTCACTGCGTGAAAATTTTGCTCAAGCAGCCGGTGGAGTCGAGTCTTTTCAGAATTCTTTGGATCTCCGTCATGCTGGCAAACGACCTCTTTCTCGGGGTATGCGCTTTTGTCTGCAAAAACCGGAAAATTTGTTTGGAGAATATGGAGATAGTCTTCCTTCTTCGTTACTCCTTTCATTTTAACTAATGCACCAAATGCAGCCAAGCAATCCGCTTGTTATTAAAAAAGTTATGCTACTGTAAGTAATAAAATGTCGTACATGCACTCGGTTTTCATCGCCAGTGTATATACGCGTAGATTTTTAACATACAAATTTATTTAAGTTACACCAGGAATTAATAAGTTATTAAAAATGCCCGAACTTATTAATTTCGTCAACAGTATTATCCAAAAGCGTCTAGTCTATACCAAAGACAGGATTGAAAAAACTGCAAGCTTCATAGCGAATGAAAGCCTTAATTCAGTTTCTAAGTTCCAATTTTGTATACAAAAAATAAATGAAGTATTAAAAACAATTCCAAATATCGCCCGAAGAAATAATAATGCGATAAGAAAGCGACTCACTCAGCTAATAAGAAAACGACTCGCCCCGGCGAGTTGCCCTCGGCGGACGTTTTAGGGCGACTGGTAATAAGATAAGATACGATAGCGATATTCGTTCGTCTGACTCGAGAGTCGGTTTGGATGTATTTGTGAAAATAAATAGGTGCGTTCCAGCGATTTTTGGACTAAAACCTGAAGAACTGTTAAAGAGCAAAATATGGCTGAGTTCCAAGTTGGTATATTGCAAAACGTCAGCATAACTTATAGAAATGACCAATTTGCGCAACTAAGTTCCAATTCGGCATTTGTACATGCCCTACAGTACGGGGGAGCGACTACAGGACTAATTAATCGGTAGCTACCTGGTAAACTCCGCCAATTACCGACCGACTACTTGCAGTGTATTTCATCTATTACTTTTACAAAGCAATGTCCTTGGCGGTAGTCACCATCGGCTTTCTCTGCACTACCGGGAGTTACTGAAGTAGTCACTTGCGTGATTTATGGGCGCCCTCTGTCGTAGTTTTTCGCTATTGTGCTTCCTACTGGTTCGACTCTGCACTACCATGTGCACTACCACGGGTTATAGAGTAGCTACTTACCTAGGAGTCGGTGCAGTAGCGGTTCAAAAGTAGCGATTGAATCCAGCAGTACTGGAGGGTGGTTGCGAATTTTGGAGATTTCGATCAGTTATAGTTTAGAAATAAAAGAGGCTGATGCTTTCCAGTACACCAACTTGGAACTCAGCTTATCTCTCAGATGAGAGAGCAACGGAAGAACTGAGAAAAACTGTCATATATGCACAACCACGGTTAAAAGCCGAATTTGACTTAGTTGCGTAGATAAAACATTTCCATCATTAGTTTAGAAATAAAAATTCTGATGCTTTGGCTTGAGGCATTTCTGAACGCGCCCTTCATTTTTTATTTGATTAAAATGACTGATTTTTCGCTTTAAACTCCGTTTGAAATTTTTTCAAAGGCAGTTGAAAAATATATATACATATGTATACTAGCAGACCCGGCGAACTTCGTCCCGCCCAAAATATTTTTTTTTGTATTGAAACATTTTGGTCCAACATTTGGTAATTCTCTAGTGTAGGGTAACAACCCCTAAAAAAGGTCCGAAAAAGTCGGGAGGGGTACCAAACGACGTGTTTCGGTCCCCCTATTAACAATCTGGAGGGGGAAGGCTAATATTATTGACCATTTAAAAGTTATGAACAAAAAACTTTTGTTAAATTTCGTTGTTTTCTGTGGGCAATTACACCGACAAAGATTCACTAAATCACCTGTTCTCACTTTTTAAACACTATTAAAATATATAATTTAACTTATTTATTAAACAAACACATAGTTTTATCAACCTAAGATAGATTATTTTGTTATTAAAAAGAAGCTGACAATCTTTGCGAACTGAAACGCGAGATTCCACAATAGCTATAGTGCTGCCACTGTATTAGTATTTCGTAATAATTCACTTTTCCTTATAAGGTGTGTGCACTGTTCAATGCTTTTCGGTATCTTTTTTCGTATAATATATATATAAATAATGAAAATTTTGGGAAATGTTTAGCTATTTATACAACGATTTAGGGGTGGGGGCGGAGGAGGAGGCGGTGTGGGCCCAACAAATCCCCCCTAAACGAAAGAGGATTGACGCCGCTTTATGAAAAGTCATCCCTCCCCCCCCAACCCCTCCCACAGTCCTCTGGGGAGCTGTTTGAAAATAGGGGAATTTTAGATTTTTTGCAAGGAAAAAACAAAGTTAAACTTGCGTCCGAAGAAGGGGGGCTGAACACCTTTTGCAGAGAACACCTTTCTGCGTAGGCGGCCTTCGGCCGCGCTTAGGGATTATAACCCTTACTACGTAGAATTCTCCTTTCTGTGTGACATAACTGGGGCTACCGACCCAGTGATGTAACCTTGGGAAAGGATGAGGTAACTAGAATTCCCTTTCTGTGTGGTAAACCTGGGGCTGCCGCCCAGTGATGTCTATTTTGGTTACTGGGTGTTTTATAAAAATATCTTCTATATAAAAATGTATATACAAATTTATAACAAAAATTTGCAACAAATACCATATTTCCAACCGACATTATTGTTAAATTAATGCACAGATTTAGTAAATTAAATTTTTGTAATAAAGCGTGAACTGTTGTCTTCAAGTGTGTGTAAACGTTTTTTGATTCGATTCACGCGTTTGGGCACAGCAACCCAAAATGGAAACCTACATACCAAATTTCGTTAAGATATCGCAATTTTTACTCAAGTTATCGTGTACACGGATGGACGGACAGACGGACGGACAGACAAACATGGCTTAATCGACTTCTCTTTTCATTCTGTCCATTTATGTATACATTTGTCTATATCTATCTCGATTCGTTTTGGCTGTTACAAACAACCGTTATGTGAACAAAGTTATAATACCCTTGTGCACAAGTGCGCTCGGGTCAAAATGTGGTATGTACAAAAACTAATAGAAAACGTTCGTAACAATCTTATTTTATATGATGTGAAAATTAAGTGAATTGTACATCGGAATTCGGCGCGAAAAAATCGCGCAAGTGTGCGCACGATTGCGGATTCGAAATAACAGCCGACTACCAACTACCAAAACCCAGTGTATACAGCGGGCACAGTTCAGTGTTCCAGCTGTCCTACAGTCACATGTGCAGCAGTAAAATGACGACAAAAACAAAATTTGTTGACAACTATCCAAAAAAAAAAAACNAATTAAATTTTTGTAATAAAGCGTGAACTGTTGTCTTCAAGTGTGTGTAAACGTTTTTTGATTCGATTCACGCGTTTGGGCACAGCAACCCAAAATCGTTGTACAAATTCATAAACAGTACCCAAAATTTTTAATAAAAAATCGCGAGAAAATTTTTTATAAAAAATCGCACTTTTGGCACTCCATGATGCTTAGTTTTAATTACAGCTTTAATAACTGTAAGCCATAAAAGTAGCGCTGCCATGGTATAGCGAAATTTGCTATTATATTTTGGTTAGAATATCTTATTTAGGTGAAAGTAAAAAAAGAAGAAGTGTATAGTGTAAACTGAGTATAATAGCGCAAATGAAATGTGAAATAAAGTGGCAATACCAGCGATTTGAGGTTATAATAATTTTGGCAGGCGCAAAGTTTGTTTACTATGTTTTATTAACGAAATATATAAAAGTGAGTAAATGATTTGGTTTGCATAAAATTTTTAACCGGAGACGTTTTAGTAGTGTTTTAAAAGTGGAAACTGGTGATTTAGTGCATTTTTGACGTGGTAATTGCTCATAGAAAACAACGAAATTTAACAAAAGTTTTTTGTTTATAACTTTTAAATGGTTAATAATATTAGCCCTCCCCCTACAGATTGTTAATAGGGTGGCAGAAACGCCACCTTACCTTCTAATGTTTTTGTCATGCTCTTAGCGGTTACCTTCAAATTTTTGTCTCATGGCTAAAAAAAAAACATTTGCTTAGTAAATAAATTCAAAATTTGGTAATTCTCTAGGGTGGGGTAACAACCCCTAAAAAAGGTGCGGAAAGGTCGGGAGGGGTACCAAACGACGCGTTTCGGCCCCCCTAATAACAATCCGGAGGGGGGGAGCTAATATTATTAACCATTTAAAAGTTATGAACAAAAAACTTTTGTTAAATTTCGTTGTTTTCTATGGGCAATTACACCGACAAAGATTCACTAAATCACCTGTTCTCACTTTTTAAACACGCTGCGGCGCGATTTTTTATTAAAAATTTTCGCCTGGTCCACAAAAAAAAAAACGATGAAATGTTCCTTTGACCAAACCTAGTCCATGAGATGTTTTTGGGGGTCGAAAAAAATCTAGACATGATGGAGCCAAACGGACTTCAGATTCGGGTTCAGTGACCCCAAAAACATATAACAGACTAGGTTTGGTCAAAGGAACCTTTCATAGATTTTTTTTGTGGACCTGTGTTATCAAGTGAAAAACTAAAGCTATATACAGAGGAAAAATTTCAAATCAAGTGTTAGACACTTAATTTTAATTTTGGATTGTTATTTAAATGCCATTTAACTTTCGTTGGGTATCAGATCAACTTTATTTAAATAAGCCAAACCAGTGGCGACACTATTGCTTGCTCCTTGAAATTGTTGTTGCATTTGTTTGTTTGCTTATATTTTGTACTGAACAGCTGATTGTTCTTTGGCAAGATTGATAAAACAACCCATCTATCAACCTTAGTTCTTTGGTTAAAACACAGGGTTGCATATCTCATATTAAAATAGCCAATCACCTTATTTATATGGCATCAAACACGGTATCGAATAAACTCGTGTCAATACGAATCAAAAATTGTTTCACAAAATCCTGGTTCATCTGTCAAGCAGTCACTTTACGCACCAATTTGCACCTTTTCACAAAGGGGGTGTTCCCATTAAAGCATCGTAAGCTCACGAGTTTTACACAGTTTAAGACATTACGAGTTTAGGTGAATTCCCTAAGAGTTTTTTTAACTGGGCGTTTGACAGCAAACCTTTTAGTTTGTAAAATGTCGCCAAAAGC